AATTAATCAGTGATAGAGATATGGATTTGTTTGTTGATCTGAACTCTGGTTAAATTTCAAGTTAGCAGGCGTGGAAGTAAACAGTTATGAGTGAGCCTCTCCATACTTAGAACAGAAATCTCTGAATAAATTTTCACATACCACTATTGTTGGTACTGATATACAGAAATTCATAGTGGACTAGGTGGACTAATAGTAATAGTAGTATAACATAGTGGACTAATAGTATAACATAGTGGACTAATAGTAATATAACATAGTGGACTAATAGTAATAGTAGTATAACATAGTAGTATAACATAGTGGACTAATCATAATGCCAGTTTTTATTTAAATACTACTTGGTAATTTTTCATCATTTTTTTACTTTTGTCACATTTAATTTTAATTATTAAATTCTTTTTAATCTTATTTTAGTGAAGACTCAACTAACTGGAACATTCACTTATTACTTTTGTCATATTTCTACTGATAAGCTACACAAATCTTCAATTTCTTTTGTTGGAAAATTCTAAGATAGTAGAAAATCTTCTTTCAGGCATAGAATTCCTCAGATAAGTTTTAATAATTTTGACTCTCTAGTGCTTGCATCTGGCAACTGTGATTGGAATTGTAAAAATAAATGTATTCAGGGACAGGAATCAGGAAACTGCTGGTTAATTTATTTTTGATGATCAAAAACTTAACTTGCAAAACCTAAAAGATTAGCCTAGCTATCTTTATATACATTAAAAACTTTCAACAGTTGTTTACCTATCTCAGGAGCCAGATTATCATAGTGTTGGAAAGTTTTGATGCAGCAAAATATAGTACATAATCTTTCTTTTCAATCTTTATTTTCAGGTAATATAGCTATGAAAGTTTCAACAATCTTGTTTAGGCCAATAATCGGATTTTCAACTGGGTAACAATAATATCTAGTGTAATATTAGATAATGATTTTTTCTTGGCAGATCTATTCTTTTGTCTTAGATCAGTTCATCAAAGTGTCTTTTTATTCTTCATACTCTGACTTGAAATGAAGATTGATTCTCTAACTGTTGCACATCAAAGCAGCAACTTTTGTAATCTCATCAGTAATCATCAAGCTTCTATAATTCTTATGTGAGTGAGTTTTTAATGTGTGGGAAACTGCAACATTTCTTAAAACAAGGTTTAAAACTGGATATTTTTACCTCTATCGCAATTATAATAATTGATCAAACATCTGAGTATTTTTAAAAAATTGGCTGCTTTGTCTCTCTGGCCAGTGTAAACTGAATTAAATTTTCATTACACATGTTACAGGAAATGGAGGGTTTTGACACAGTCATTTCTGGAATGCCAACGAGTAGAACAAAGTCTGTTTAGAGAAATAGGTTGAGAGCATTCTGATTTAAGTTCTGCCCATCATTTACTGATGTGTGCAAAAAAATATGTAAAATTCTTCAAGCATCTCATAAAACATTTTTTTTTAATGGAATTATTTATGAATAGGTTTAATTAATTAATTAACTTGTGGACTATAAATTAATATAACATGCTAAGCTTTGGATGTACTATACAGTACCTCATTCTTGCTTTAATTCCAGAATGCATTCCAGACATACTGGTAGCTCTCCAAAACAAAGTCCTTTGAGTTTTCCTACTTATAAGTTGTTTTCCTGAAATAAGATGAAACTTGTTCCTTTGTTGTTTGACAATGGTGTTCAATTTGTCATTTGCTATTGTCTGGTTAAATACCACTGTCATAAAGTTTCAGAGATCTTGCATTTTGTTCTTGAAAATTAGGGTCTTGTTTAACATCGGTGGCTATTTCCATGATATGGTCATGAGTCATATATCATTTGTCTCAAAAAGTTCAGACATAGACTAAGCTTAGGAACTTATGTTAAAAGTATATAAATATATACATAAATAGTAAAATGGTGAGTTTTGTATCATTATTATTTTGTNATTGCAATTGTAGAAATCCCCAAGCCTCAACCTGGTTTGGATGCCATTCTAAGATCGTTGTTCTGACATCTTCCCACTTCTTAAGATCTTTAATAGCAAATATAGGCATTAATCCTCTTTTTCAGAAGAAAACATATCTTGCCGAGTTTCCTGGTGTTCTTCATTCAAGAGTTTTTGACGTACTTTTGTCGTCAGATCCGTTTCAGGTTCCATTATGAAACTCTTCGATGTTCTTTATTTTTCAGATGTGACTTTTGTTACTCCTTTAGCTGCTTGAGTCTTCTTGATTATACAGTATTTTTCTTAAATAAGATTGAACTACGGCCTACTGTAGACCTGTTCACGCCATACTGCCCAGTAACATTAGGCATCTTCTGCCCACTTTCTACCTTTGCTATTATACTCTCACCTTTTGAAAAGAAAAAAGAACAGATGCAAAACTTAACTTGTGCCTACCTGACAGTCTCGCGAATACATAAAAGAATTGTTTTGTCAGAAAAATAAAAGGCTGGAATTACAAGGGAGAGTTTCAAAGTTCGGAGGAATACTATCCGATCGGTANTTTGTCGTCAGATCCGTTTCAGGTTCCATTATGAACTCTTCGATGTTCTTTATTTTTCAGATGTGACTTTTGTTACTCCTTTAGCTGCTTGAGTCTTCTTGATTATACAGTATTTTTCTTAAATAAGATTGAACTACGGCCTACTGTAGACCTGTTTACGCCATACTGCCCAGCAACATTAGGCATCTTCTGCCCTCTTTCTACCTTTGCTATTATACTCTCACCTTTTGAAAAGAAAAAAAACAGATGCAAAACTTAACTTGTGCCTACCCGACAGTCTCGCGAATACATAAAAAATTGTTTTGTCAGAAAAATAAAAGGCTGGAATTACAAGGGAGAGTTTCAAAGTTCAGAGGAATACTATCTGATCAGTATATACCGGCTTGAGCGTCGATGTCGACGTCTCCCACACTCCGAAAAGTTTCGAATTGTTGCCCGAAGACAAGAGAATACCAATCGGTATTCATTATTTTACGTCGCTTCTTTTTGTGTTCGTTCTGTGCGGTGTTCGTTATCCGATCATGTGTTCGTTGTCCGAACATAAAAATCTTTCGCGAAAGTGTTCGTTATCCGATTTGTTCGTTGTCCGAACATAAAAATCTTTCGCGAAAGTGTTCGTTATCCGATCTGTTCGTTAACCGATCATCCACTGTATTTATTTATTCAAACTGCTAGTATAAAGTAACTGAAATATTTGTGATAATCTTTTCGAAAAGAAATGTTCTTATATCTAAATTCTATTTCGAGCTAACACTTTAGTTTAACTTAAAAAAAAAAATAGAATACAAAATTACACAATTTAGACAAACAAGCTCAAATTATTCTAACGATCAAATAGTTTATCTGGCTGTATCACCACTAAACTTGGCAAATTAATGTTTTTACCATGCTGGAATAAAAAGTTCAATCACATGAAAACCACAGAGGGATGTGGGCATAAGCTCGAAATAGAATTTAGATATAAGAACATTTCTTTTCGAAAAGATGATCACAAATATTTCAGTTATTTATACTAGCAGTTTGAATAAATAAATATAAGAATGTATTTAAACATTCACTAACAATATTTGAATTCCTCATCCTACTATCAATATATATTGTGCATTATAATCACAAAATAATGCATAGTAAGTAGAAGTTGCAAGGTTTGAATTCCACTTTGGACTGATGTTTTTATCTGGAATAGTTTTGAATTAAATTTAATGCAAAGCTATATTAATTTAGAAATCACTAGCAATAATCTTTACTGATTTCTAAACATACTTTAATCTAATTGCAGTTTTATTACCATTATCTCTACACACAAACTGTTTCATAATAATCCAGTAATATATCACCCATTGACATATAATTCTAGCAACCAAACTGTGTTGTATATGATGGCATCCCTGATTTATTTAGATGTAAATATATGTACAAATTAAATAATATTCTATCAATGTAATAAAAAATTTATAAACAGGTAAAATTATGTAAATTTTTATTTTAGTTTCAGATAGTAGTGGTAATGAAGGTATACAATCCCATTGGGTAAAGAGGACAAGTTTAGTAGATAGTAGAACACCTGTTACAGATATCAAATTTGCACCAAAACACTTAGGTCTTCAACTAGCTACCTGTTCTGCAACTGATGGTGTTGTAAGAATATATGAAGCACCTGATGTAATGAATCTTAGTCAATGGTCTTTACAGCATGAAATAACTTGTAAAATTAGTTGTAGTTGCATTANAAATGTTCTTATATCTAAATTCTATTTCGAGCTAACACTTTAGTTTAACTTAAAAAAAAAAATAGAATACAAAATTACACAATTTAGACAAACAAGCTCAAATTATTCTAACGATCAAATAGTTTATCTGGCTGTATCACCACTAAACTTGGCAAATTAATGTTTTTACCATGCTGGAATAAAAAGTTCAATCACATGAAAACCACAGAGGGATGTGGGCATAAGCTCGAAATAGAATTTAGATATAAGAACATTTCTTTTCGAAAAGATGATCACAAATATTTCAGTTATTTATACTAGCAGTTTGAATAAATAAATATAAGAATGTATTTAAACATTCACTAACAATATTTGAATTCCTCATCCTACTATCAATATATATTGTGCATTATAATCACAAAATAATGCATAGTAAGTAGAAGTTGCAAGGTTTGAATTCCACTTTGGACTGATGTTTTTATCTGGAATAGTTTTGAATTAAATTTAATGCAAAGCTATATTAATTTAGAAATCACTAGCAATAATCTTTACTGATTTCTAAACATACTTTAATCTAATTGCAGTTTTATTACCATTATCTCTACACACAAACTGTTTCATAATAATCCAGTAATATATCACCCATTGACATATAATTCTAGCAACCAAACTGTGTTGTATATGATGGCATCCCTGATTTATTTAGATGTAAATATATGTACAAATTAAATAATATTCTATCAATGTAATAAAAAATTTATAAACAGGTAAAATTATGTAAATTTTTATTTTAGTTTCAGATAGTAGTGGTAATGAAGGCATACAATCCCATTGGGTAAAGAGGACAAGTTTAGTAGATAGTAGAACACCTGTTACAGATATCAAATTTGCACCAAAACACTTAGGTCTTCAACTAGCTACCTGTTCTGCAACTGATGGTGTTGTAAGAATATATGAAGCACCTGATGTGATGAATCTTAGTCAATGGTCTTTACAGCATGAAATAACTTGTAAAATTAGTTGTAGTTGCATTACATGGAGTCCTTCTAGGTAAATAAGAAATATTAATTTCAAAATAATGCACTTTAATAATACAACATATTACTTTTGTTTTTTTATTTTTTTTAAGAATACATCCACCCATGATAGCTGTGGGTAGTGATGATTCTAGTCAAACAGCTGGTGGAAAAGTTTTGATATATGAATACAATGAAAATAGTAGGAGATGGAGTAAAGTTGAAACAATTGTTACGATAACAGATCCTGTTCGTGACATAACTTTTGCACCCAATCTTGGAAGATCTTTTAATCTTTTAGCAGTTGCCAGTAAAGATGTCAGAATTATTTCATTAAAGCCTTTAATGTAAGTGTATTAGTTTATAAAATTATTATTTTTGATATAATACAATATAAGTTGTTATTAAAAAGGAAGTTTATTTTTAAATGTTAAAATAATACTGAAAATTTTTTTACTTGGAGTGTTCAGAATATTTAAAAATTTATAACCAAACATTGTTCTTGGTTAAATATATACACTGGAAATTTTTATCAGTTAAACTGGGTATAATTTCTAATTAAAACCATACACTTTTACTTGTTTTTGTAAACATAACTTTGTTTCATTAAAATTTCAAATTGATATACAAAGCAATTAGTGAAATCTGACTTTACAATTTCTCTTGAACATTACTCCATTTTAGAATCTCATTGTATTGCAAAAATATATGAATTCAACATCAAAAAATATGTTCTAAGACCTCAGCTTAGTTCTAAAGCAATCATTTTTTCTATTTTTCTCCTGAAGTGTAATTTTGACCAAAGAAGTGCTAGTTTCAAAGAATACTAAATAATTAGTGCTTTTATCAGTAATTTTTTTTTTAATGTTGAAAATGCAAATATATTTTCATTACTGACAAGCTTATAATTAAAAAGTATCTACTACTATCATTCATCCACATATGGTTAGCAATATGAACCTTATATTTTTATGAATAGTTTGGTTCAGCATACAAGAAAAATTACCTTTCCTGACCATAAACTATGGTCCACTGTATCCTTTAACAACTTGTTGCATACTTATTTTTGTTAAAAAATTTACATGCAGCTGTATAATGCACTGACATCTATTTCTTTTCTTTTTATCAAAATATTTAAATACAGCAGAAATTTAATTCTCTTTGGAATGTGTAATATTCATTAAACTAGGTATTTTAAATTCTATCTAGACATAATTACCATAAAGTTTTTTCACATTATTCAAGGAAAAACAGATAAATTTAATAATTTCAGAATAAGTCTAAAATATCCAATAATTTTCTTAATCAAAAAAATATACACTACATGACTATCGTAGTATTAAAATTAAAGCAAATTTGTTATTCTGTATCAGAAATATTCAGGTATTTCTTCTATTTCAAAGTTGTTATTGCTTTATAATTCCATTTAAATAATATAAGAAATCTGTTTAGAAATTTTTCATTATGTTTTTATTTACAAAATAGTGATCAAGGAAATGGCAATCCTCAAGGAAGTTTATCAAAATTTGAGATTAGACAAGTGGGACAATTTGATGATCACAATTCTCAGGTTTAAATTATGAAAACATTTTATCATTAAGGGATTTTATATTACTGAAATTATTAATGTTGACAACTTTTTTTTTCAGGTTTGGAGAGTCAGTTGGAATATTCTAGGTACAATTTTAGCTTCTTCTGGAGATGATGGTTGTGTGCGTTTGTGGAAAGGTAAGGTTGCAACAGATATTGCCAAATTTATTTATAATGTATATAAAAACTAATTGAATTAATTCTGATTTTTTTAACAGCAAATTATTTAGATAATTGGAAACGCATAGCAACATTAAAAGGAGATTTGACTAGTGCAACAGGAGAGAAACAAGCTGGAAATGTTAATCCTGGTAATCAGTCAGTTGCAATTAGCCTGGCTCCATCTGCAACTCATGGTAACACAAGATATTACAAACTAGGACAGATTCATCAGCCAGCACCTGTACCTTGGCATTGATTGTGATTTAAAAAGTTTTCAAATTTTAATTGAAATGATTAAACTTGTTTTATTTTTCATAAACTTCTACATTTTGAAATATGTTCAATAATAAAGTGTTGTGTATTAATATTGAATTTCTTAATATTGAAAAGACTCATTACTACGAAGAACAAAAAGAAAAAATATATATATGTATTATTTCTGTAATAGAAAAAATTTAAGAATTTAAGTATTTTAATTAACAAGAATTTTAATTCAAATAAAATTTTTTGCAATATATACAATTTTCCTATTTCATGCATCATCAAAATCAGTATATTCAGATATAATGTTGAATTCATTTGACTAGTTTTAATCTTTTTACAAATATTTTATGGACAACAATTATTTATTTGATGTCAAAATATCATAGAAATATTGCTAATTATAATGAAATTTGTCTCAGACTAATATTCAATAAAATCAATTATGTATATAATGTTAATTAAAAATCAATACTAATATAATTTATTTAAAATAAAATGAATCTAGAAACTGGTGTGATACTTAAATTTCAATAAATATTTTTTTAAACAAATTTCACAATCTTTATTGCATTCCATGTACTGTTTGTTTCAAATGAAGATATTTAGTTGAAATATATTTTTCAAACAACAAAATTATTATTGATAATGTTCATGTTGCTGTTCCAGATCCTTAAGTTTGAATTCAACAATATATTGAGTAATTATCACAATAGTATCTACACTGATTTTTGTTTTCCTAATTTTTTATTAGTTTAACAAAAATGTAACTTGTTTTCAAGTAGACTTGTGTTAATTTTTTTCAAACATCTGATGAAATTTCAGTATAATTGGTTTAGTAACTTTATTGGAGAAAAACTTCATTATTATTTTCTAATTTGGATTTATTTAACTATTAAAGATTCAATCTCATGTATAATGGACTATAGTAGAAATTTTTGAAGAGGAAATTTTGATGATATGGCACAGACAGCTGCATATTGTTTGTGATTCAAATTTTTTCCAACAGTTGGCTTAATCTAACAATGTATGAGAATAAATAAAAATGCAATGCCATAGACTAAAAAAGGTAACAAAAATTGAATTTAGACAATATATTAAATTTAGAAATAGTTATACTATAGTTTAATTGCATAGTGTTTCATTTTTCTTAAAATATTTACGAATTATTGTAAAACTTTGGGGTTGAAACCCCTATTTACTTGTCTATGGCTCTGCAATATATGAAAATTGTTACTCTTTATTGGGAAATATAGGTTTTCTTTTGTATTTTGTAAAATAAAAACTTTCATTTAAATATCACTAAGTAATATTTGAAATAATCAAAATACATAACTTAAAAGTTTGATAAAAATGCATTTTTCAATCCTTAAAAAATAAATTCCATTATTAACTAACTGAAAATAATTATTTTTAAAAATAAATATCTTCAATAATTAGTTTTTTGACTTTAAAACTAATGGAAGGTTTTGAAAATTTTCTTTTGGTGTAATCAAATTTTATAGTAAAATATACATATGTGCATCTTTTATCATTATGATTTTCAATCTAACTCTTTAAAATTAAGGAACATATGTGAATATTTGTACAACTGCTCTATAAACTGTTGAAAAATACTTCTGCAGACTGCAAAGGTCTTCAGTACAAGACTTTAATTTTTTTTTCATGAAGGTTTGTATTTCAATGAAGACTTCAGACAGTTCTGGGTGACTCATCCTGTGGTACATTATACTTTATCTAAATATATACACAGTATAAAAGTATATTGTGTATATAAATTTTTAAAATACTTATACAAGAGGGGGGAACAATTACATAGCCAACTTAGATAATTTAATTTCTTGGTTCACAAACTGGAAAAATTTTCATTAGCTCCAAACAAATATTTTCTTGTGTATCACACAAAATCCTATCTTGCTTCAAAATTACGCATACTTTACAAAACCGTAAGTACTAACAAAGACAATAACACATATAATACAATTGCCTACAACAAAATACATACATTATTACATCCTAAACTACAAATGTACCAGTTTTAATTGCTTATTGCAATTTTCAAATGCATGTTTGCTGTATTCACACAATCTTTTTTTTTTTGCACCATTTTATAATAAATGCCACAAAATGGCTTGCATGGAAATTTCATTTATGTGCCCAATTGTGCAATGATTTTATCTTGGCAAGGAAGAAAATTTGTGCAACTTTATTAGAGAATTTTGATGTTTTTGTTTATTCAAATTAGAAATTTAATCTAAATAAATATAATAATTATCCTTAAATATTTTATCATTAATTTCTCATATTGATTGTCTAATTCAAGTCATACTCTGAAAAATTAAACTGTTATTTTGATTATATTTGAAATGAATTACCAATTCTCAACTTGCACAATTTCTTTAGACATGTAGAATTAGTATTGACATATAGAATACTTAATATGCAATATATGCATTATTATAATTTATCAAAAGTTCTTGTAATTTAAATGTTTTAAAACAAAATGTTATCTTGCCAGCTTCAGAATCTTTGTAAATAAATTTTGTATCAAATTGTATTTTACAGTGTTGTTGGTAGGGAATGTTCTCAGAATACTTCATTGGCTTTCTAAAATTTATAAGGGTAGAAACAAATCTGTGCATTGGGTTACACAATAAATCAATACAAAATTAACAGTACATGAGAATAATACAAGGTTTGGTAATCCACCATACATTTCTAATCTGAACTGACACGATCTTTGTATTCCAAGCATTCTGCACCACGATGATGTCACCCATCTGTTTTCTTGATCTCCCAGATACAGGTTAATAACAACAAACTTGACTGTTTGGGAGGTCAATCTAAGTACAAGTGACCTTGATTTTCACAGGGCTGTACAATATATAGTCACTACCATTGATAACATAAAGGAAGCTGATTTTGAGGAATTAATTCCACATTTCACATTGCTGATTGTAAATTAGAGCACTTCATACAAAACATAGACTTCTCCTGGCTGTTGCTCTTGTGCTTACACATTTCTTATATACACTATACACTTCAGCCCATAATAACAAGCTGCTACTAGTAGGGAAAAATAAACCCTTTTTCTGGTACAGTCACATCACATACACAACAAATGTTATCCACAGTAAGCTCTGTGATGGCAAAGTGTTGATCTGCTACAATTAAAAATATATATAGAAACAATAAATAGCTAACACTACATTTTAAGCTAACACTGCTATTTTTTTTGTTTTTTTTTTTTAATTTTTGAGTCCCGTTGATAATTTGTTAGACCGATCATCTGACACCAATGCATTTTTCATGCTAAAATCATTTATGTATAAAATGATTATTAAATATGGAAATAAAATGATATCAGATTTTGCTGTCCGTTTTCTATATGTATTGAATTAGTAAATTTCTGTATTTCTTACAATACAAGTAGAATAATTTTGTGCAACTAAATACAATATTTTTGTTTATTGTGACTGATCTAGCATCATATCAAATACTAGATCATTTCAAAGTGAAAGTTTTAAAGCATATTCTGAATAGAGAACATGCATTAAGACAACTAAGTGGAAAAAAATTTGAAGATAGCCAAATCTGACACCAAATCTTTGCCTACATATAAGTAAATGCAATTTGTGATTGACATTACTGCCATGAAAATGTTGCAATTGTTGAAATGCCATACAATGACTACACAATTAAATTGGTGCCACAACATTTTTGTTTTAACTATTTGTGTGTACAGAGATGAAGCACAAAAGCATCAGCAATCATTGTGGCAACCAAAACGGAAGGGAGAGACTGTTTCATGTCTTTAGAGGAAATTTTTCCCCAGTGGCCACTCCCACAGTTCACAGGACTTCTGCTCCTGCTACTGAAATGATACTGTCATATGTAGCAATATCTCCTGGTAAGTGCAACAGGGCATTTGGCTGCAGAGGACATTTGTGCTTTGTGCATATTTCTATCAATCTGTGGCTACTTTAATAAGAACCAATTTTTTAACCATTGGAAGAAATGAGGAAGCTCTCCATTAAACTGTATAATAAAATATCAAACTGTGGGAAAGAGAACTGGCTGTAATACATATACACACACTTACATACATACATACACACATGGGCAGTGAATGCATCACTGTCAAATGGCTGCACGCTGTGGTATGTCATAACACCGGGTAATCAGGTGGGAGTCTTGAGCCACTTCTGTCTTGTGCAGTTCTGTGCCAAAATCATTCTTGTCCAATACAGTCCAAACACCCTTCATGCTATAAATACCAGAGGGCACTGCAGTTCAAAGATGTTAGCTGCCATCACAATAACTCATATTGACGAAGATGCATTCGCTGAATGATGTCTCTGCAATCATTAAAGACCCGACGAATATTTTCTGTGTCTACTGCACAGGTGAAATGGGGATAACAATAATGTTTCCCATCACCACTGGCAGTGCTGATGCGCTGAAATATATAAAAGTTCTATGTAAATAATATGATAAAAATAAAATAAAATCAATAATTTTAAAATTGTCTATTTATGCATTTTTAAACATTACCTTCTAATGTTTTATTTATGAAGATATGAAGAAAGAAAATTAGAAGTGGATAGATTTTTTGCAAAATAAATTAGAAAATACAAAGTTTACCTCACTGTGCAAGTTTTTATTTATCCATTTTCTAGCATTGTTAGTCAAAAACAAAACAATAAATAATAGAATAAAATTCCAATTGTAACTCAAACAATATTAACTGGAAAATCACATGAAAAAATCAAGAGAAAAATAATAAATTTTATAATACAAAATTATATTTGGCAAGAAATTATCTGCAATTTAAAATAAGGCATTATCTTTCTAATATAAGAACACCATTTTAAATAAATCACATTCCAGAGTATTTCAACTGTATCCTATATTCTTTGTAATATTGATTTTTCCTTGTAATTATAATAATTAAAATTAAATTCTATTGTAGATAGATTTATTTTTGTTGTAATAGCTGAATTTGCTTTGTTGGATTTTTATATAGGACCATAGATCAAATTTTTTCATGCAGACATATTACCTGACTTGATATCAAAGTTTACCAATAGACATTTCTATAATTTATTATGCCCATATCCAATGTACAATTATTCATTAAAATGAGCAAATGACAAGGCACCACATAAAATTTTATTGATAATTATAGACTATGATGAGTTAACTGCAGTTGTGCATTATGTAATTGTTTAATTTCCAAAATATATTATGTAACTA